CCAGTTCGGACACTTTCAAGTCTTTCAACAATTTTTTCAGAGCCATGGTCAGTCTTTTTATTTTTCTTGTCTATCACACACGCCACACTTGACACCAATTGTTATGTTTTCGTCGGTTCCGTGTGGATAGAAAGTCACAATTTATTTAAACACTATTTATTTAACACTAATTAAATAAAAAATAATAACGATAAAAGACTTATAGAACTATTTACAAACGATTTATAACTAAGAATTTATTTTGAATTTTAGCGTCTAATCCTATATTTAGAGTAACTGCCCTCTCTAGGTCACTGCCGCCGGCTTTTATAACGACAGGTAAAAGAAATCCAGAATAGTCCAAAGATCGTTAGGCGCATAGAGAAGGTTTTCGAATGTTCTCGTATGTACTGTCCATTCTAGTGGGTCTCGATTTTCTCGAACGAATGAATCATTGCGGTGTCTATGTTAAGGTCATCCGAGGGCGGGCCATATTGTGAGGTTAGGGCGAACTAATAATCGGCTCGCAACAATATTTTAGCTGGTCAGCTGGTGTATGTACAGGGTTATTCATAAGTCCTATTTGACGTTTACGGAGAACCAAAAATCCAATCCTCTTGTAAAAAACTGGGTCTTAAAATAGTGATGTAGTTTTCTGCTTAAACTTATGACACAACTTCTGTTTTTTATATAGTGTTCAATCTCTTTTTTATTAGTTTGCTTGAATTGACCTTGAGATTTTATGTAACTTCTAATAATGCCCTATGCCTTTCTTCAACAGTTTTCGAAAAAAAAATTAAAAAAAAAACTTTCCAAATTTTCAAAATAAGAATCAAAGTTGAAGTCGCGAATTCTCGGTTATGCGTCAGTAAAAGTTTGAAATTATTTTTTTTCCTAAAAGGAAGATATAGGTATAGAAGGCATTATAGTAGTTATTTAAAATTTCAAGGACAAATCAACAAACTAATATACGGGTGTTCTATTTAAAATAACGATGCTGGTTGCCAAGTTTAGCAAGAAACGGAAACCTTGCGTTTGGCCAGCATTCTGCCGATTCCGTTTTTTAGCCATTACATCCTTATATAAAGTACTGGCCCGAATGACAATGTTTATTTTAAATTAAATATAATCCATAGGGCCATAAGATTTAAGCACGTATAGCCAGCGTTGGCCCAACGATACAATTTAGACGTTGCATCGGCCCAACGCCGATTTATACGGTCGGCCGACATACGGTTCGACTGTCGGCCGGGCGGTCATATACGGTCCGGGCCAGTACTTTTTTTTGGGGTCGGTCCAGTGCCTGTTCTCCGGCAATGCAGCATTTGTTTGATGCTGGCCCGTAAGAAATGTGTTTGTTGGGTTCGTTCGGATAGTGAATACGCACCTTTATGTAGATGAAAGGGTGGGGAAAGGAAATAGATCACCTGAGATCCAAACTATTTTTGCATCATTCTTTTCGCCTAGCTGTTTCGGTATGTACGTTAAGTGTTTCAAAAATGGCTATTTATACGACCGAAGAGAAGGTGCATATCGTTAAATGGTTTTACATTTCGTCTAGTGTGGAAGAGGTCATTGGGCGTTTTGTGTTCACCTTCCAAGATCGCCCTGTGCCTTGTGCCACAACTGTACGCAACATTGTCCATAAATTTGAGCAAACAGGCTGCATTTGGCGTGCAGAAATTGTGACAATAAGGAAGGCGCAGAGAAGGTGATTCCCGACAAGGAAATTAATATTTGTGCCGCGGTCGAAACAAGCGAACCTTGTTCAAGCCGAAATACAGCCGAACAAGTTGGTTGCAACGATGTGCAGGGTTTTAAAAAAGCATGGATATAAGTCCTAAAAAATCAGTACCACGCAATAAATTTTTCCCGCAGATTGTAACAGACGTCTGGAGTTTTGCGAGGCTGTAAGAGGAAGAGCCGATCGGAATAATTTATTTTGGAAAATATATTATTCTCAGATGAAAGTTCGTTTCCCTTACATGGCTACCACAATTCTTCGATAGTACGTTATTGGTCTAGAGAAAATAAGCACCTTAGTATGGCACTGCGGACACAATATCCACAAAAAACTAAATGTTTGGGCTGGCATGCTGCAAAATCATATCATTGGGCCTTTTTTATTGATGGTATGTTAACAGCTGCCAAATATTTGGATATGCTACAAAACCAAATTGTACCAGCAGTTCGAAATTTGCCAATCAATTTTGAGGAAGTGTGGCTTCAGCAGGATGGCTGTCCTGCGCATAACGCGCGGAACGTAAATCTGTTCCTTCAAACCACATTTCCCAATCGGCTAATTTCCAAACAAGGCACAATTAATTGGCCACCACGTTCTCCTGATTTGTCGCCCAATGACTTCTTTCTGTGGGGATATGTAAAAAACTCCATTTATGGCCATAACCATGAACGACCCATGAATATTGACGAGCTGCGATTAAAAATCGTTCAGTCGTTGGAAAATATCCCCGCTGTTATGTTAGCTAAAGTTAGATCAGAGTTTTATAACCGTCTTGGCTATTGCGAAGCACAACAGGGAGGTATTTTTGAACCTTTGATTTAATTTTTATAATTATTTGCTAATTGTCCTTTTTAAAGTTGATTTTAGTCATTTTTTTTTTATGCTTGTTTTAACTTATGCTGAAACAGCAACAAAAACATGAGCAGTATAGATACAACCGATACGTTTAATTATTATTTTTATTGTTAAAAGATTAAACGTCTCGAGATGAGAGTATGGATAACCTTCAAAATCGTAAATATATTGTAGAATGATGTACACCCAACCCATTTCAAAATCCGACTGATTTGATTTCTGTCTACCGTTCTAGGACTTCGATACTGCCAGTGTTGCCAGATGAAGTTTTGAAAATTTCCTGAAGCCTGGTTGGCACGGTCACTCAATAACAAATATTCTTTTTAAAAATATTTATCTGATGATACCTTTAGAAATGCCAGTTTAAAAAACAAATTAAATACACACACTAAATTGTGTCCAAAAATATGCTTTCTAAAAAGTTATTTCCTGGATAGAAACCTTAATGTTAGGAAATATTCCATTCCGTACCATGCCATATTCCTTCCCACCACTTGATTTGTCTCAACCCGCCTCTCGAAATGTGGAAGCCATGCATATCTCTTAGCACGTGTCGCCACCAAACCAAACCAAACTCTTGAGTCATAGGCGTACTAATATTTTATTTCATTTATTTGAAGTATTACAGCCAACTTTAGTTTAAAAGTTTTGCTGCGAATTTGTAAATTTAATTTTATTAGAATTTTAATAATAATCTTTTTTATGACACACGACAAGCTTAAGATGCGAACAGTGGAACAACGCTTTCACCACGCTGCTTCTTAAGCCCCATACATACACAATATAAAAAAAAAACTCATCGACATGAAAGTTTTATGATCAAGTTTTGTATCATAAATAAAAACAGATAAATACTTTATGTAAAACGACCTTTAAAATTAACATTATAAACATTATGTAACTGTTAAGTGGCATCGTTTTAATGATTCTAATTGTGCTACACTTTAAGGTGTGAAATAAATTACTTATTTAAGTAATAATACTGAATTTATGCGGGGTGGTATAACCAGTGTTATAACGGTTGTAGCTATAGTATTACGGGTAACCAACGGTCCAGCTACTTCGAAACACCGCGCACCGGTTCCCAATAGAACACCGAAGTTAAACGACGTAAGTCGATACTAGTGGATAGACGGGTGACCAGTTCGAAACTCTGTATCGTGCTGTTGTCCTATAAAGGCAAAAGTGTAAAATATTTTGGACACACACGCTCATTCACGCCACGCCGATTTGAGGCCGGATAAGATCGGATACCTCGTGAGTAAGAGCCGATTTAGACACTTGCTCGGTCATTAACCGAGGACCGCGCTGTTCGATTCCGCGTAAACAAAGTAGGCCCCGTCAAGATTAGCCTTAGCAGCAAAAGGAGATGTTAACTTCAAATCTTTTTACTTTACTTTATAGTATTACATTATAACATTATCAGGTCATAATATTATGAAATACTATTTCCTACTACTACTTTTTTATTGGTACAGCAAACTTATCAGTATAAAGTTTTACTTATCTTTATCCTTTTATTGCTATTTATAATTCTGAATACGAGGATAAGAAATTTCAGTTTTTAGTACGCCTATGACCGAAAGTGAACGTCTACCTCCCGCTTCATCAGCGGCCATAATTGGTTGGAATCAGGGATGAGTAATATAAAGGACCATAAAATTAATAAATCTTTTGCTGGTAAACAATGTAAAGAAATACTTTAGAGTGATCAGTATGACAGAGAAGTAATAAAAGGGCCGTTTTTATGAATAACAAATGGTATTTTAGAATCTATATTTGAATTGACAATAGATTAATTTATCAGCTATACGCAGAAAATTGACAATAATAATAAAAAAACACATGGCAATCTAATAGGTTCAAATTAAAAAATGGATAAGAGTTTTCATTCATAATAGTAATACAGATATATTTCGAAGAACTTTACTTAAAATTAAGTTTTAATTTTTTGTACTAGTTTATAGCACTTGGTGGTATAACTTGACAAAATAATAACAATCATTTAAATAAAGCATAAACGAACCAATAAATAAACAAAAGGTTAATTTATTTAATAAACGCAACGTACGGCTTTGTATGCCGATTGTCGTGTGTATGAAGAATAAAGTCAACGTTTGTTCAGTACAATACGATATACTGAAAGAGAAGAGACTATAAAATACGGGAGAAAATGAGAAGTTTATTACTCATCCACTTAACTCGGATCGGTCGACAATAGAATTTGTGATATTTACAATATTATGTAATTAATTGATTATTTGAATTCTCAGGATGTAATCCGAGGATACGTAACTAAGTAATAGAGCATATTTTTGGTTAGTTTATTTAATGAAGCATACACACGGCTTTGGTTGTTGATTCTCGTGTGTCAACGTGTTCAGTACAATACGATATATTGAGAGAGTTGCTGATGCACTATTACGTAGACACGTACATCCTTAGTTGCATAATAAAACAGATAATCTATTAATTCCAAAACGAACTAAAAGCGCAAATTCTGTTGTCGAACAATGTAATCGGTATGATTACAGATTAAATAATTATGGAGGTGCATATGAAACATTAAACGATTCATCATTGTGTTAAGTTATACCACGTAATTTAATAAAAAGATAACTCATTTTCATCACTCAAAGTCTCACTTCACACTGGCTCACTCCATTATTATTACTACTGATTAGAATGGTCGACCATAGAATTTGCACTATTTACTACGTAATACAGCATATTTTTTGGTTAGTTTATTTAATGATATAACCGATAATTTACACACGGCTTTGGGTACCGATTGTCGTGCACAGAGTCTATAGACTCTGTGATTGTATAAATGAACAAAGAGAAAAGAGCAAGAATTTTCCCAAGTGTATGAAGTTGAGCTCCGGATTAAGTAGATAGGTAATAATTTTCTCTCCCCGACTTACAAGATTACCATAGCGATTCACTTCAGACATGTAGGGTAAATATTTAATTTCCAAAATAAACGACCCAAGATTTTCTCTTGCCGACCAGTATACTATCGTAGTCTTAAAGAAATTAGAATAAAATAAACTATGTTAAATGTTCATGTATACTACTGAAATGAAGATAATATATTTAAGCTAAAATGTAATCTATTACAGTTGTAGTAAATTGAGTAAATCTCCAATTGTTGAAAATCCAGATCCAACCCCTAGATGCCACATTTTTTTGAAACGTCTACTTATGCGGTTTGAAATTTGATGCAAAATCTGGCAATACTGCTCAGAAGAAATGTTCCCACCCATACCCACCCAACTTTTTTCTCTTTTTAATACATTTGATTTGCCATTAAGCTGCCTACATCACTGTCTTACACGTTAAAATCCTATACACAGAGTTGACCTGTCCCGATGTGTATACCGACCTGGTCATTTGATTACTGTGTATTGGATTTTAACGTGTAAGACAGAGAATAATATAAATGACCGGTTGACAGACAGAGAGACAGCATCAAAAGGGGCCGGCGAGGAGCCGGTGCGACCGATACAGTGTTGCCGGTTTTTACGGGTGTGGGCAAGGTAAAGCATAAGCATGGTGGGAGAACGCATTGAGAGGGGCGGTGCTTTATGTTAAGGTTCGTATTCACTATCCGAAAGAACAAAGGAATGAAGTTCGGTATATTTGGACAGCAAACCGAATGCATGCGGCCGTTCGCCATTCGGTTCACTCCATCATCCGTTTCCAGTCGGTATATCAGAGACGTTCGCAACGAATGAGAATTATAGAACAGCGCGAACAAGACTGGACATTCGCTCGTTGGATAGTATCATCTGTCTGTTCGGATAGTGAATACGCACTTTTATGTAGATGAAAGGGTGTGGAAAGGAAATAGATCACATGAGATCCAAACTATTTTTGCATCATTCTTTTCGCCAGCTGTTTCGGTATGTACGTTAAGTGTTTCAAAAATGGCTATTTATACGACCGAAGAGAAGGTGCATATCGTTAAATGGTTTTACATTTCGTCAAGTGTGGAAGAGGTCACTGGGCGTTTTGTGTTCACCTTCCAAGATCGCCCTGTGCCTTGTGCCACAACTGTACGCAACATTGTCCATAAATTTGAGCAAACAGGCTGCATTGCGGCGTGCAGAAATTGTGACAATAAGGAAGGCGCAGAGAAGGTGATTCCCGACAAGGAAACTAATATTTGTGCCGCGGTCGAAACAAGCGAACCTTGTTCAAGCGAAATACAGCCGACCAAGTTGGTTGCAATGCTCGAACGGTGTGCAGGGTTTTAAAAAAGCATGGATATAAGTCCTACAAAATCAGTACCACGCAAGAAATTTTTCCCGCAGATTGTAACAGACGTCTGGAGTTTTGCGAGGCTGTAAGAGAAAGAGCGGATCGGAATCATTTATTTTTGGAAAATATATTATTCTCAGATGAAAGCTCGTTTCCCTTACATGGCTACGACAATCCTTCGATAGTACGTTATTGGTCTCGAGAAAATAAGCACCTTAGTATGGTACTGCGGACACAATATCTACAATAAATAAATGTTTGGGCTGGCATGCTGCAAAATCATATATTTGGGCCTTTTTTTATTGATGGTATGTTAACAGCTGCCAAATATTTGGATATCCTACAAAAACCAAAATTGTACCACAGCAGTCTTGAAATTTCACAATCAATTTTGAGGAAGTGTGGTTTCAGCAGTATGGCTGTCCTGCGCATAACGCACGGAACGTAAATCTGTTCCTTCAAACCACATTTCACAATCGGCTAATTTCCACACAAAGCACAATTAATTGGCCACCATGTTCTCCTGATTTGTCGCCTAATGACTTCTTTCTGTGGGGATATGTAAAAAAATCCATTTATGGCCATAACCATGAACGACCCATGAATATTGACGAGCTGCGATTAAAATCGTTCAGTCGTTAGAAAATATCCCCGCTGTTATGTTAGCTAGTTAGGTCAGAGTTTTATAACCGTCTTGGCTATTG